AGGGAAAATTAACAATAGGGAATGAAAAATCGTCCCTTTTGTCGTAAATTTTAGTGTGGAGTTTCCCGTGTAAAACCGAAATATCTAAATCTAGGAAAGGACAGTTGTTACCGTTTAAATTTGATTTATTTAAAGTAAGTTCCTTTGGGTAAATTTCGGCAGTATATTGAGAAAATTCTTGATTATTTAACGAAAAAATAAAGATAACGGTAAGTGTTGTTGAATTTATCAATTAAATGCAATTTAGACGGGTCTTTACTGAGTTTGGTCATAAACTTTGATTCATAACAGTACAAAAACAAGTCTGCTATTAAAGGGGCGCAATTAGTGCCCATAGGAATACCTACAACCTGTCTATAAACTTTGCTGCCGAAATGTACATAAATATTATCAAGGAGAAAATTAACAGCTTTTTCATTTCATAAGAATTAATTCTACTATTCAAAGTACATTTGTAGCATTTTTTTCATGTTACCATTTTCTTGAAATTACATGTGAATGGCCCTATTAACACTTTTGATGATCTTTAATCTGTTGATGATTTGATCGCGGGTCAATTAGTGTCACCACTTCTGATTACTTGTGTACAACAATTAAAATATTTACTTTGCAATTTCCTTTAATCGAGACAATTTGTAAGCATAGATATAAATCAGCTATTTCCGAAAGCAATTTTTTTTTTTTTAAATTTGATGATTGTTGCCAGTAATGAATAACAAAGAAGTAAGTGAAAATTAACACCTTATTTTCATGATTTTGCAAAGTCCCACAAATCATAAAATAAACTGCTTCGCCGAGTGCAGCTGGATAAGACCGCAGAGGTCCAACCCTGAACAGTTGGGGCAAAAATGGACACAATATTCAAGCTTGATACAGGTCTGAATTTGGATCGTAATTAAATATTTGACACATTATAGGTTTCTGACACAGAATAAATGTAGTTAAAGAACTTGAAATTGGTTATATGATTTGAATTTATATTCAATTGAAGATTTCTTGCTATTGTGCAATACACTGTGCTGTTGCGCAATACTTAGTAAATCTGTTTTCAGATCTAGACTATATACAAAGAATTAGTAAAATAAATTGTGACCCCAAATTTTTCTTTGGAAAATTGACAATTTCTTAAATCTTGAGGGAAAAAAATTAACCCCCCCTTAAAAATTTGTTTGCGGTCGTATAAAAACAGCATGTGATTACTTTCACAAATCTTCGTTTCTGATGATTTCAAATTCTTCACTCGATTTTTTGTCAGAAAACTAAAATCCACAAATTTAAGATCCCACGAACATGTAACTTTTGCTCAAACCACGAAAATTGATACCCACGAATAAATGCACTTTCACAGTATATGTATTCAGTGTTTACCCTAGATTTTTTAGAATGGGGGATTGAATGAAAGGGTGTTGGTCATAAATTTTGAAGGATGCGGCTTACGCGTATGCATTATATATAAGGACTTTTAAAATGCATTGAGCTACATGTATGCTAAACCCTCCGAGAAAAAAATTTCATTTGTTCATTTGTATGAACATTTGAATTATGTATACGTACATGTACATGAACATTATGTGCATCAAAACAAAAATATATGAATTGCATACATGTACATGTAGCTGACATGGCTGATACCATTATCATGATTATTAGTAACCAAAATATATTATTGAAAAATTATAATTTATTTTCTTTTGCAAATTTCCATAATTGATAATGAAATACATGTACATGTATATGTAAATAATGCATTATTCCTGTACATCTTCCATAGTAAAAATATATGGCCATACAAAACTAAAATGTACTACTAAACTATTCCTTTTTCATCTTGTTGCATTTTTTGGCATTTATTTCAGAATTACCTTGTAAAATGTTGTACAATGTACATGTACATTAAATTATAGTCACTACACTTATTTTACTTCACCAAATATCAGTATAGGAATTGTAAGGTGATGCTCTGATTATCGATTATAATTGAAATCAATCGGTTATTGAAAACATAAATATTTTATTAATTGATTATAATTCTCAATAATCTACAATTGTTAAAATTTTAAAAAATCAATCAAATCACTGAAACGTTTTGACAGTCTACTTTAAATGTAAGGAATGCCTTAATTTAATCAGAAAATATCCATTTTGTAACCAGTCCTGTATGACTCTGCATGTCAGATTACTGTGGATTCATTTATTTTCGTGGGTATCAAGGTGTATTTTCCTGGAAACTGTAATTTGTGATTTTGCCAAATTTTAATAAAATGCTCCGCTGGGGCGCAGCTTGATACGACCACAGAGGTCGAACCCTGAACAGTTGGGGCAAGTATGGACACAACATTCAAGCTTGATATATACAGCATTGAATTTGGATTGTAATTAAATATTTGACACAGCATAGGTTTCTGACACAGAATGAATGTGGTCTAAGAACTTCAAAATTTTAAATTTACCTATTCAAACCATATCATTATTATTTGCTTTTATATATAAATCAGAAATAACCAATTTAAAATGGAAAATTTTAAAGAAAAAAACGAAAAAAAAATCCCCCCCCAAATTTTTTGAACCCCCTTATGATTCATCACCCCGAAACTCAATCCCAGCCTTCCCTTTGTGGTATGGTACCTTGCAGTACAATTTCAGAGAGATCCATACACTTGAACACAAGTTATTGTCTGGAAACTAGAAAAATGCTTGTTTTTTTGGCCCCTTTTTGGCCCAAAATTCCTAAACGTTTAGGACAATTACCCCCAAACTCAAACCCAGCTTTCCCTTTGTGATATGGAACCTTGCAGTACAATTTCATAAAGATCTATACACTTACACACAAGTCATTGTCCTGAAACTAGAAAAATGCTTGTTTTTTTGCCCTTTTATGGCCCCTAATTACAAAAAATTTTGAGGGAATTACCCCCAAAATCAATCTTAGCCTTCCCTTTGTGGTATGGTACCTTGCAGTACAATTTCAGAGAGATCCATACATTTGAACACATGTTATTGTCTGGAAACTAGAAAAATGCTTATTTTTGGCCCCTTATTCCTAAACTTTTTGGGCAATTACCCCCAAACTCAATTCCAGCTTTCCCTTTGTGATATGGAACCTTGCAGTACAATTTCATAAAGATCCATACGTACACTTACACACAAGTTATTGTCATGAAACAATATTTTTGGCCCCTAATTCCTAAAATTTGGATGCAATTACCCCCAAAATCAATCCCAGCATTCCCTTTGTGATATGGAACCTTGTGATACAATGTCAGAGAGATCCAAACACTTACACACAAGTTATTGTCATGAAACTAGAAAAATGCTTGTTTTTTGCCCCTTTTTGGCCCCTAATTCCTAAAATTTGGAGGCAATTACCCCCAAAATCAATCCCAGCATTCCCTTTGTGATATGGAACCTTGTGGTACAATGTCAGAGAGATCCATACACTTACACACAAGTTATGTCTGGAAGTTACAAAAATGCTTATTATTGGCCCCTAATTCCTTAACTGTGGGTACCATAACCCCCAAAATCAATCCCCACCTTCCTTTTGTGGTATTGAACCTTATGGTAAAATTTCATTGAGATCCATTCACTTAAACTAAAGTTAGGGTGCGAAAACTACTGTGTCTTCGGACGAGGACGACGACAACGACGACGCCAACGTCATACCAATATACAACCACAAAATTTTTTTTTGCGGTCGTATAAAAATGCCTATTTTTGGCCCCTAATTACTTAACTGTTGGTACCATAACCCCCAAAATCAATCCCCACCTTCCTTTTGTGGTATTGAACCTTATGGTAAAATTTCATAGAGATCCATTCACTTAAACTAAAGTTAGAGTGCGAAAACCAATGTGTCTTCGGACTACGACGCTGACGTCATACCAATATACAACTGCAAAAATTTTTTGCGGTCGTATAAAAATTTTTTTAATAGAAAATTGTACTTTGTTGAACATTTAATTTCGTAGTTTGTGTATCATGTGTATACCCTCGAAATCCATGAAAATTGGTATTCCATATCATGATTAACATGATTAATCAGGAATCCACAGTAGTTGATAATAATTTTCCAGCCGATTCCAAACACTACATGTAGCATTGTATCCCAGAAACTCCAGTTTCTTCAACTAATAAAAATCATGTATATAATATATAGGTAAACTAAATCATACAAACATTGTAAAATGTATCATGTGTATACTGTACATACATGACATACATATATATATAGCCCATAATAGTACAAGTGTTATTAACATGTACCTTGTTTTACAACCAATAAATGTTGTACATACATTGTAGATCTAGAATACTGGTACAAGCACTATTAACACATGATTGTTACTTTACTTATACACGATCAAACAAATGTTTTGTCAATAATCTGAAGTTTTGGCATGTTCATGATGTTTGGACAAATGTACATTATGTAAAAAAGTTAGAAAAAATCTAGAAATGACTGTGATTCCATGTTTTAATGATAATAATGAATCTTGCAGGACAACAATACATGTTAATACAACATAAACATACATTAGTGTATGGGCCTTGCTCATTGTTGAAGGCCGTACAGTGACCTATAGTTGTTAATTTCTGTGTCACTTGGTCTTTTGTGGAGAGTTGTCTCATTGGCAATCATACCACATCTTCTTATTTTAATATTCTTATAATTAGTGTACACGTACATATACATGGATATTGTATTTAGCATATTTAATTTAACTAGAGGACTTTTTAACATACTACTTTAGGCCATAAAAAAAATATGTTTGTTTGCCCTAACCCAACCTACCCAGAAAATAGCTGCCTACTCAAAATCTTTTATTGTCCTGATGTGAACAAGTTTTTTTTAATCAGATAGGCATGAAGACTACAAAACGTCTTACACTTCAATTTCTCTTTGTCGAAAAAAAAAGAAAATGCCTACCTACCTACCCACTGTCTCTACCTTTGGGTAGGGTTTGGGCAAACCAAAATATTTTAAGTGTGGCCTTACAAACCTTTGAAGATGTTTCTCCTGTCTCTGAAGTTGCTGCCTAGAAACACTGAGTTTATATTGCAAGTCTTGAATCATTTTCCATGCTTCTTCACTAATATTGTCATTCTCTTGAACATCACCTTCATCAGAAGAATTGTTTTCGTTTTTATTCGAACTTTCTGATGTCCCTTCTGCTGAATTCAATTTCAATTCTTTGACTTTTACATCTCCATTTATTTGGCCATTTTGGGAATCTATATTATTATCACAGACAACTCCTAACTCAGAATCTAACTCAGATAACAAATCATCATCTGAGACCGCAACTTCTAAATCAACAAAATTTTTTCCTGCATCCAATGCCTCTTTACGGTGACTACTCTCCTTCTTGTTCCCTATATCAGGATTGGTCGGGTCTGATTTTTTAACTGAACTATCACCCTCTTTCAATCTGTCATTTTCGGTTTTGCCACATTCATCACAAGAAGTTTGCATATTAGTTATCAGCTGATTATCATTGTTTTGACTAGACGTGCTGCTAGCATCCTTCTGAACACATTCATTTACAAGACTAGAATAACCTTCAACCTCTACTATATTAGTATTTTCTTTGTTTTCTAATACTTTTTTATGTTCAATATTGCCAGATTTTCCACTACCTTCAGTCAATTCATTTTCACTGCAGGCGCTATTTTCATTGTTTTCTGGTTCATCATTACATTTATTTTGACTCACAGGTGAACTTTCTTGATCACACTCCGGTTCATATGATTCTACACTTTCAGACTTAGTCAACTTTAATATCTGAGGTACAGAACTACAACCTTGGGCAATGTCTAACACTTCATCTGCCTCCTTTTCTCCCTGCACTTCTCCTTCTGAAATATCATCTTCATGTGTGCTTACTCTCTTCTGAAGAGAGTCAGAGTTATTTTGACAACATTCTGATTCAGTCCGAGCAGATTCAGCAATCTGACACAATTCTGCCTCAGGGATGTCATGGCCTAATTCTGCTTCTGGTACTTCAAAACTGTCACAAGCATCAGCTTCCACGTGTTCTTCTACATCTAAGCTTTCTTCAGTATGGTTTGTTTCAGAAACTGAAGATTCTGTCTCATATTTCTCTAGTGCACCATTTGTACAATCAGTATTGACATCACCATGATCACTTTCCTTTTCACCCGTTTGAATTGCAGGATTTCTATTTTCACTTTTAGAAGAAGGAAGTTCATTGTCACTGTCTAAACATAGTTTAGCATGGTCACATTCACTTATTCCCTGCTCATTTCCTGCAGCAGCAGTTTCAGGACTGTCATCAACATTAACATCTTCAATACCACTCTGAGCATTATTGTTTATATGGAATTCATCCTCAGCATTGCTATCTAAATGAAATTCATCTTCTGCTGAATTTGTAAAGTCTGTGTCAGCCTCTGGATCAGGATTTTCTATAACATCACCATTTTCTGGGTCAATGGCAGACATCTTTAATTACCTAGAAATACCGTAGATACATAAAGTGCTATATGAACAGAACATTTTATATGGTGTTAAACGACACTTTTAGCACTATTAGCTATTTTTGATGGCCAGTTTTAATTGGTGGAAGAAGCCAGAGTGCCTGGAGAGAACCACAACCTTCAGCAAGAAAACTGGCAATCCTAGTCAATTAAGATTTGACAGTTTTCAAACATAGCTTAACGTATTGCAGATGTGTTTTTTAATGTGTGTATAATATTCATAGAATATGACCTGAATAGTACATTTTACATTATTAATTATTGTACACATATGGCCAGGCAAGCTTTGGATGTCTCATTCTGTGTTGCATTGGTTATTTACTGTCTGTGTGCCATATTCGTTCTTTTTCACAAGCCTACATTAGTTTGTGATAGAACCTCTTTTTTTTACAAAACAAGGTCACCACCATCACCAATCAAAATAAAAAGCTGATTTTTATGACCTAACAAATTTTTGTTTTAGGTTTCCATGATTAAATCATGGAAGTATTATATTGACAGGAACTACAATTAGCACTTATTTATAACCCGGGTAGCAGTCATAAATTGACCAGAAATACTTCTTATCAATCACATGGTTTTTATCAAGACAGGTTAACATCAATACCTGTCAGAAAACTCCTTTGCTTATTTCAATCGCGTCGGTTGACCATTATTCATAAACAACTTATTTAAACAAATCGACTGATGCATATACAATGAAAATCGGCCCAGAATTAATCATACTACATTGTACAATGTTTTAAAATAAGGGTGTGTTCTGGTTACTGCTGAGTCACAAAAATTTTCCTGATATAAATATACACTATGACGAACCGATTTATATATATATATAGTAAAGGGCCTGGATTAGCCAGGAAAGTAGAAATTTTCAGTTTTAAATGATAAAATTAATCAATCAAGGACTATATAACACAGAAATTATATATAACAAATATAATTTATCATGTTTATAAATATGTGTGTTTTAATTTTTTGGCATTTGTGAAATTCAAAACTGCTAAAATATTCGTATTTGAACGAATTTTGTCCGATAATATACAGCCGGGGTCAATATTTCTATTTGTACATTTATGAATGTGCCAATCATGACTTATGATTTGACCCATATTTTAATATCAATTTGTGAAATAAATGAAGACATATAAAATGTTATGGAATGGCTAAACCATCTCTGTCCCATAAAATATTTTATCACTTTCTGTCCAAATGATACTAGTAAGTATTACTTTACAGTTACATTACTTGAAAAAATTTCAATACACCTGGGCTCAGCAGAAACATTTGTATACCAACCAACTATCTTACCCTGGATTTAGAACGAAGCCTTATAATTCTTACATCTATTTAAAATTTCTTTAATTTCTTATTTCAATCAGATCAATCATTTTACAATCGTCTTAAATATGCATGAAATGCATGCCACTGGAGTTAAACAAACAGTAATTTATCACAACGAAATAATACATAATGCAATTTCTACCGAAAAATAAATCAATAAACATGGTGTATATAATCAATTAATATGGTACAAATTTCCATTGTCAAAAGTGTTTTTCTAGAATAAATGATGTCTTGCACAAATCCATCAATCTATCAATAGGCACACATAGGCAGATGTAGGGTAACGGAATCTGCTGAGGTTTGCCGACTGCGGTTTCCTTAGAATTTATCACAACTTTCAATTTCTTTGTTTATTTCTGTAATCGCCAAAGCAACCAAGAATGACAATATTGTAAGGCGCCACAAACTGGTGTGTAAACAACGTGCCATGCATCAAGTTAATTAACATGTCATTAAATTGCGCGAGGCATTGCAGATGAAATGTTTGAAGTCAGGTCGTAGTAGTTCCTGTCAATATAATACTTCCATGATTAATAAATAGTTTTAATGCGAAACATACGACTTAAATCTCTTGGTTGAATGTTGTATTTCCACCGTGGTGTAGCACCAGTGTAGTGTAACCGGAAAGCATGATTCTACTAAATTTCTAAGGGGAGCAATCCTGTCACACTTCCCCCACCTCAAGAGTCATTATACTCTATAATGATGATATCTTCAACCTTTTTTATTTATGTTTAACCTGGCTAGGTATTTCTTCTAACCGTGGGTTTTTATTGTTGGGCGCCAATGTAACGGGAGAGCATGATTCTACTAAATTTCAAAGGGAAGCAATCCCGTCACAGAAGCATTGTAAACAAAAATTTTATAAAACACTTTTTTTCTATAAAAATGTTTCTATAATCGTCCAGCTTTTGAGAGGCTGCCACCCCCAAATACCCCCTGCTAACAATTTTTTTCCAGTGACTGCATGACTGCTCCAAATAGGTTTACTTAGCTTCGTCATGTTCATTGTATCTGATAAAAGTTTTAAATAGACCAACCTCTATGATGAGATGGAATTATAATTATTATGACTCATTGAATGCAAAATATAAAATAAGATTACAGAATATAGTGGTGGTGTTATTAGATGAAAAGAACCATAGTCTGCTTACTCGTCCACCCTCTATGCAGGGGGGAATCTATGAATCTTATTGATGTTAGTATTCTAACAGTATTATGATACAACCATAGCTGTACATATCTAACTAAATCCTTACTACAACCAAACTAAAATGTAAATAAAAAATAATTTGTCTCGGGAGTTTTCCTTTCTCAGTACTGACTTTTTTCCGGCGTCGCAGCTTCAATTTTATTTACTAATGACATTTTGCATTTACAAATTACTGGAAGAATTAAATATATGTGATTTTATTTTACCTTTGGAAACCATGACATCTAAATATATCTTGAAAATCGTTTAAATTCTGAATTTAAGATATGACAATTGCCAACAAACACCAATGGCGAAGGTCACATGACCTTACTCGGAACTCATCAGATTTATCATGAGAGTATCTGTTATCAAAGCTCTCGAAAATACTATAAGAAAACACACGATACATTATTATGCCAATCATGACATCCATTACTGAGCAGAATATATAAGTACAATTAGCAATTAAAATGTTTTAAAGTGCAGTTACATAAAATAATTAAAAAAAAAATTCTCAAGTCAGTCAGATTATATACCGGCAGTGATCTTGTTTGAATAGTTCTCAGTGTGAGAAGCTGCAGTAGATCTCAATAATCCGACATTTCAAAAGGAATCGAGGCTCCATCTTCTAATTACTTACATTCCATGGTTTGTTTGGCTGTTCCTGTGTGCACTAATTTGAAATTTGAATAATAACCAATTTTGTTCCCTATTCCCAATAATTAAATAAGGACTCTATCAGTAAACTAGATTTAAATGTGCCACTAGGCTTTCAGTGTGTTGCTAGTTACCGTGGCAGTTTGGACTTTTATTTGAACATTAAATACGTTAAATTTCCATATATATACTTTTTCACTTTTTTGGTCTTTTGGAAAATGTTGTTTGTGCTGTATTTAGACCCCTCTAACAAGAAATTTCTTTTGCATGCACACGTATAAAAATTGCGGTTTTTATCCAACGCAATTATAGGTTTGAACGTTATTTTCAATTTAGACTTGTATATATTTTTTCGTTTGGGCTTGTATTATATTTGCCTTCGGGTTTATATGATCCGTTCATCCTATTTGACTCTTTCAAAATTCAAGAGTCTATCCTAAATTGAGGTAAATTATATGGCCTTCCAAATACCGTTTCGATTCCTAACATCACCGTGGCTGAAGAGACATTAATTGTCGAAATCCGGATATGGTGTACAAATTTTTGCACCTCATGTTTGCGGTATACCATCTTTTCCGCAAGTTTATTGTTTTCTGTTTAGTAATAATTCAATAATAAGATCTGTTTTGTTACATCTTGTGATCCGTTTTTTTGGCAATCGCCACGGCAGTCAGCAGGATTTAAGAACATCAGTTGTTCGACCTGCTAGTCAAATGCGCTTTGTTAAAATATACTGTTTCACTCATTTGGTCTTTTGGAAAATGTTGTTTGTGCTGTATTTAGACCCCTCTACCAAGAAATTTGTTTTGCATGCACACGTATAAAAATTGCGGTTTTTATCCAACGCAATCATAGGTTGTTGAACGTTGTTTTCAATTTAGACTTGTTTATATATATATACATATATATATACATATAGCTGCATTTTTAGTTCATCTAGTGGCCTAGTGGTCTAGAGCGCTGGACACAGTGCAGGCGGTGTTGTCATCGGATATCCTAATAGCATGAGCTCGAATCCCGGCGAGGGAAGAAAAATAATTTGCTTCCGCAGATTTAACATTGTTGTGCTGATATTTAGAGTAATTATGAATATATATAATATGTGTTTTCAGTCGTGTATCACCTTCACTGGTGATCCAATGCATTGATCTGTCGTCGAGTTGTCACTTGTTTAGACGTACATACTATTAATAATTATTTCTGTGACTGCATCTTACGGTCCTTAACGACAGATAATTTAGCTAGTCTGCAATCAATTCCATCTTCATGCCTAATATATCATGTACTGTCTTCTACTGACGAGGAAAGGTAACATTAGACCACCGAAAGCTGAAATTTTAGTTCAGTCTAGATGGCCGAGTGGTCTAGAGCGCTAGACACAGTGCAGGCGGTGTTGTCACGATATCCCAATAGCATGCATGAGCTCGAATCCCGGCGAGGGAAGAACAAAAATTTGCTTCCGCAAATTTGCAGATTTAACATTGTTGTGCTGATATTTAGACGGTAATTTTGAATATAATATGTGTTTTCAGCCGTATATCACCTTCACTGGTGATCCAATCGATGGATCTGTCGTAGAGTTGTCACTTGTTTAGACGTACATACATGAATTTTGAGACAATTTTCTGTTTTAATAACCCGGCTAACTTAAATAAAATGGTTGGCTATCAACCTTTTTAGTTTTTAAGAAATGATTATAATTTCAATTATTTAAACAAAAATTCTAGAAACAGCCACACCATATGAGTGGTTTTTTTCAACAATGCCATATAGTTTTTATCAAATAAATACCTCTAAAAGAATAGCTTTTTTTATTCACATTTCTAAATTATAAAAAAATATTTTACAAGGTCTAATAATAACGAATACATAAAAGGGGAACCACGAGCTCATCTCTGCATGCGTCATTTGACGATTATCCTAATGTAAATTAACAGAATTCGCTGCATGTAGTCTGTCTCATAAAGGAATAAAAGAAAAGTTTGTAAGAAAAGTTGTTTCCAAAGGAGCATTGACATTCTGTAAAAAAAAAAACGGAACACACATGCTGTTAAGACATATCCCAAAGAGACAACCATTCAAAATTTACTTCTGACAGTGTTTTATGCGTATCTATTTCTTTTTATTCCTCTCAAAAATCCTCTGTAATATAGCCTAAGCCTCAGACAGTCTATGCAAAGAAGAGCGCATGGGAAAGGAACTATTGTATTGAAGGTGGTAACAACAATGAACTGTGTGTGGACGGTAATTGTGGTGGTAAATAGACGCTATCAATTGCGTCATGAAAAAAATAAATACACAAATTTCTATCAGGGTCAGTGCCGATTAGTTGTGCAATGTAAAATATTTTGCCATTTTATATCGGAAGTTCGCTTTGGATGACGGGCATTTTTTTAATTGCTTTTTGTGTGTTTGACGTTCTTTTATTGAATTATTTTTGGTGTTGTGCACTTTTGCACAAGTGTATACTTTTTTTAAGTACTGTACCGTTGCTCATTCATATACCAACAGATGAACTTGAAAGCAATCGTTGACTATTATATAGACATAATCTATCGTATAGATCGGATATTCTAGGGTTATACAGAGCTAACACCATACATAACAGAAAATTCGTATGATATTCAGCCCAGCAATATTTTTAGATTAACAATATACAATACAATACAATATTTTTATTTTTCCAAATTAAAGGGCCCATTAAGAGCATAACATTAATAACAACATGACATAGACATTACAGAGTGATTAAAGAAACATAAAATAATAGTTCAAATGCATGAGGAAAGGGTCAGTGGTCAAGGGGAGATAATTTTGCTATCTATTAGAGTATTTAACTTATTTTCTGAGTTTCTAAGTTGCAGGCCTTTATCAAGGTATGCACATAAAATAGATAAACAAGTTGCTTTAAAAAAAAAAGACAATACGTGAACCTTAGAACTTTTTTATTCTAATTATTAATTCAACTGAATAAGAAATTATATATCAGTGTTATCTTGGCCATGTGTGTGGAGGATAATATTTTCTTTTTATTGTAAATCATTACAATTTTGGCATGTTGAGAGAAGTCACGGTTAAATATAAAGCAAGAGAGAGAAAAAAAAAGATTCCCAGACGTATAATTTCTTAAAGAATAATAATAATTCAAAACATGGAGGACACATGTACTTTCTTCCAAAAATTCATAAAATTAATCTAGAAATAAGTAATGAGGCATTGCGAACTGGTCAGCTAGCAGGACACATTAATGTTCGTTACCGACCAATCATCAATAAGTGTAACTCTCCCGCGAGAGATACTTACTTGATCTAATTATAAATATAAAAAAGAAGATGTGGTATGATTGCCAATAAGACAATACTCCACAAGAGACCAAATGACACAGAAATTAACAACTATAGGTCAACGTACGGCCTTCAACAATGAGCAAAGCCCATACCGCATAGTCAGCTATAAAAGGCCCCGAAATGACAAATGTAAAACAATTCAAACGAGAAAACTAACGGCCTAATTTATGTACAAAAAATTAACGAAAAACAAATATGTAACACATCAACAAACGACAACCACTGAATTACAGGCTCCTGACTTTGGACAGGCACATACATACAGAATGTGGCAGAGTTAAACATGTTAGCGGGATCCCAACCCTCCCCCTAACCTGGGACAGTGGTGTAACAGTACAACATAAGAACGAACTATATAAAAAGCAGTTGAAAAAGGCTTAACTCATCAGATGGATACAAACAGAAATACTACACAGAGTGGACGTGGCCGGGTACTTGTATATCCCAACAACAAATAGACACTAAGTACAGATCTGAGAGTACTCGCAGTTACTGACAGCTAGTTCAAAGCCACTAACAACTAATTAAAAAAGTCATGCATCTAAGACTAAATTATCAATTAGTACACGTCCAACATCCAATTATTGAAGAGGCATAACTATTACATTCAAGATACAAAAAATCATTAATAAAATAGAGTCACACGAGGTAAAAAAAAGTATGCATTCGTATTGCCTATAATGTACGTCAATGTACACAAATATGATCATTGATAATTTAGAAGAAACTGTTATCGACGCATTAAAATTTATTGACACACAGGAGAATATACTTTAAAGATTCACAACAAAATAGATTTAACTGCATTTGTTAAATTAATTCTTAGAAACAATGAATTTGAGTTTAATGGACTGTTATACAAACACATTATAGGAGCGCCCATTGTCACTAACATGCACAGATCTGCATATGTCTGCCCTATTCATTAAAATCTTAGATAAGTTCCAATGGAGAGAAAACATCAAATTACACTGTCAATAGGGATGACGGTTTTATGGTCTTCACAGGCAAATTAGAGCAAGTTGAAGATTTCTTTAACCTTGCAAACGAAATTGACCATCTACTTAAGTTCTGATATGAGGTGCCGACATCTAGTATGGCCTATTTAGAGGGTGGTAAAGGGTTATTTTCGTGCAACGTTTTCGGCCTTTTTATTTCACGTGTTTCCGTGTTTCGACGTTTTATTTCTCGTTTTCTCGTGTTTGGTTCGATGTGCGTGCTTCGTGTTTTCCCATAATTATTTTCCGTGTTTCGTGTCGGTACTCTTATTTTCTCGTGCTTGTCCCGCATTTGATTAAAAAATAAACCGGGACTAATTCAAAGTCAG